TGGACAGTTTTAAGAGCCTGATGCAGATATTTTGTGAATTAAAGCTGCAACCAGAGCCTGTCGGCTTCTGTTTACATTGTATAGACAAAGATAATTGTATAATACTGTGAGGGCTACTATAGATAGATCTACTTATTCTTAGACCGACAGGTGGAGCAGTTTTAAAAGACGGAGGATTGTAGTGGGAGTACCGGGATGTGTGACTGTGTGGCAAATAGTTTACGTGGCTTGCAGGTCAGGTAGGAGGGCCCCCTTAGCAGAGTTTTGCTCAGGGCCCCATGGAGGTCAGGACCTGTTCCAGTACCATGCAACCATGAGTGTGAGTGTTTCACTGTTACAGAAACTGTATTTAACCTATTTAAGGTCTTTTACTGTCATGGTTTGACAGTTTTTCACAATAAAATCTACAGTCATTCTTTACAGTGTGGACCAGACCACCCAGTCAGAATGTCATAAAACTTTGTAATACTGTAGTTACATAACACTGCTGTGAAAATAACCTGATGTAGGCGATACCATGAGGTAGAATACAGACACACACTTTTCCACAAATATTATACTGTATTGTACACCATGAAGTAGTCCAAAATAAACTGTTGCATCTAGTGTAAGTAAACGCGGGCCAAGTTGGCCCATGGGCCACTTGCCGTGGCCCACTTTGAGCTTTCTGGGCTGGGGAGCCTTTGTACGAGCACTGTGTGCTGTCTGGGTAACCCTGGACCCTAACCCCGAACTGGCCCCTTGAAGAACGGAGAGTCGACCCAGATGTCCTCACTTGACAAACATTTCCTCGCTGTGAAGGATGAAAACGTCTCTCTCTCTCACAGATACTGTATGTCACGGACAACCGCACACAACCTGAAATGGCAGCACATATTTGTGCCGTTTGCTGTTTCCACTGCCCTCATTATTGCTTTGTTTGGGGTACAAACTGGAGCAGAAGCCTACTGGTATCAGGATCTGGAGGCGGATAAAATACACTGTAAAAACTGTCTGTAGATTTTAAAACCATGACAGTAAAAGACTGTAATATCTAAATAGGTTAAATACTGTTTATGTAATAGTAAAACATTCATGACTCATGGTTATATCTCATGATTTATATGGCATTTTAAAGGAATTTATATAGAATATATTTTTATATTCAAACTGTAAATTGCCCAGAAAACTACCATCATATCTTATGAGAAAAAACTTGGAATTAAACCATAAAATCAACAGCAATAATATCCTTTTATTGTAATAGTAGAACTGTTGTACTACTGTATTTATCACGGTAAAAATCTGGCAACCAGGCGCCTGGTTAGCTCAGTTGGTAGAGCTGGCGACCCATGTACAGAGTTGCTGCAGCGGCCTGGGTTTGAGTCTGACCTGTGGCTCTTTGCTGCGTGTTGTCCCCTCTCTCTCTGCCCCCCTTTCCTGATTATCTTCAGCTGTCACTAGCAATAAAATGCCAAGAAATTAACTTAAAAAAAAAAAAATCTTGCAACCACAGCTGTCAGCTTTTTACCGTAAAAATAACTTCTTCGTTCTTTTTTTACAGTGTATCTCTAGGTTGAAGAATAAGTGTTTACACTCAAAGCACCGTGAGGATGTGGGAATTAGGTAAGAGAGTTGACACTCAAAGCAGCACTGGGAGGTGTGACCTATAGAGGATATCCCACTCACAGTTTACTGTAAGACCAATTGGATTAAAGCAGAACAAAACAGCATGATAAACCGCTAATGTACCTACAACACTCATAAGTAATGCACATGCAGTCTAAACAGGTTCCTGTTAGCTACTTCTTCCTCCAGGAGGTGGAAATGTTGTCAGTCAGTCAGTCAGTCAGTCAGTTGGTACTTTGGTTATCCTGAACAAACTGCAGTTCAAATATAAAACCATTCGAGTGACTGCCATGAAAATGTGTACACACATTCTTTAAAACCAGAAGATGAATTGGAATGAAATTTGGTACAGACGTTTATGTTGCCATGAGGATGAATTGTAATAACATCTGTAAACCCTTGACCTGTTTGTGGTTTTTCATGTTAGCCTGAATATGTACCAAATGTATCAAGAAAATCTTAAAGAACGGAAAGGTATTCATCTGGATTCTGAACCGATAATAAAACATCATCAGCGTAACATGCAAAAAGCAAAAGTAAGGAGCACTGGGGAATAGGAGGCATCTTTGACGAGAGGACATTTCCAGTTTTATACGGTCAGCAAGACGTCCATTTGTCCTGATCTTTGCAGTAGAAGCTGAATATAAAACTTTTATACTGTTAAAGTTGCACTGTAAAAACACAAAAGTTACATTTACATTCAGTGTCACCTACCAAATCACATTATTTTTCTTAAAAATGTAAACCTTGCATTGTTTACATCCGTGTTTACTTGCAAGCAGTCTTCTTCTTTGCCTTTATCGGTGCATTGCTGCGTTTTTTGGCACATTACCACCGCCTGTCAATCACCGGAATTACATTAAAACCATTGGCTGAACTGTTGTGTCACTCATGTGCATCCTTGATGAGATAAACAAAACAAGGACCTGCTCATAAAAACTGCCTCATACTGCTGACTCCATAGGATACCTTTTATTGAATTTGAACTGTGCATTTCATTCTAAACCACCCTAATTAAATCCATATATATGTACATTTCTTTGTATTCACTGACAAAATGGCCACTAGTTTGAGAAAGGAGGATAATATGTTAAAAAAACAGTCATGGAACATTTATATTTTTAGGGTATTTTAATGCTAATATGTACTAAAACAGTGCCCTCTAGTTTAATACACACTCAAGGCTTAAACACACACTTCAGCACACAGATGTTATGCGCAAATGAGGCATGAAACACACACTGGTCAGGGATAAAGGCATTTATTACCTCTCTTAGACAAAGTCTCTGCACTGCTTTACTGTAGCTACTTCTCTGACAGCAGATCAGAATCTTTAATTTAACAGTTCAGTCTCAATAGAGATTATCTATATAAAAACTGTTTATTTACACAGTATCCTGAAGAAAACTGTGGGAGAGATAGTGTTTGCACCTCTAAGCAAATGTGTGTGTTTCATATACATGAGAACGCAAACACGGCAGAGGAGAGACAAAGGAAGGGGAGGAACTGTAGGTCAGATTTCACTGATCTGTTAGAGATGGCCGAGGATAGATGACAAAGCACAGATTATCTGGTAGAGTACTAGTGAAGGTCAGTTTGAGCTGTTTTACTGAAGTCAGTCCTCCACAGTTCTCAAGGTTTGTTTCCACTGTCAGTGTGGCTCTTTATGAACCTATGGAAGCCCATTTCCACCAATATGATGGATCCTGTAAGTCTTTATGATGAGAATATTTCTCAATATTTTTATTTATTATCTCAAAATAATGATTGAAGAAAAGTGCTTCCATAGTGTTCTGTGTTCCTCAGGATTCAGGCTGTAGTCCACTGGTTCTTCCTGAGCCGCAGCCCAGAGGCTCAACTGTCGCCACCCGGTGGTTCAGGTAGATTTTGCGAGGAAGAAGAAGAGTCAGATTCATTTCTTTCGTGGAATTGTTTTGGATTGACATTGAAAAGCAGACCTCTGTTTGCAACTCACTTCTTTATAGTGATGTTTGGTGATTAATGGATGATGAAGGAAAAGACCTGAACATCATCATCATTATCGTTATGTCGTCTCCCCCCCCATCATAATGATGATGATGATGATGATGTTCAGGTCTTTTCCTTCTTCCATGTATTTTCTTTTACCTAAGAGAAGAACCATGGGTGAATCCCAGAAATGAATGGGCACTAACAAAATAAAAACAAATCATGCATATGAAATAAAAATGATAGAAAATGTGTTCATATGTGTTCTCCTGTGTCTACAAAAACCAGGAAATGGTCTAACAAAAGCAACCTGAAGTCTCTCAGCAGTGCAGGCGTTCTGCGGGCTCTGAAGGAAAAATATAAATAGCAACTGATTCTCTCATCCGCGGCACCAGGAGTTTATTTATAATACTGCACAGCAAAGGTGAATCTGATCACATCCTGCGCTGGCTGCCTCTGGACACAGAGGACAGAATGACAGTGCAGATACGTTACTGTGTTCAGACCGCACTCAAGGGACAAGTGTAATCTCAGGCAGGCTGCAGCTGTAAAGCAGTGGTTCCCAACCTGCAGGTCGGGACCCCCAACAGGTGTCAGTTAGGCTTCACGGGGGGGTCGCGAGGGCTTCATGATTTTAAGGGGTGAAAAAAAAACTACACAGTAGGTTGAAATCTCGGCATTCTGTTCATTTCTGTGAAGAAAACTAAATGAAAAGATTTAACTATGAGGAACTGAACACAAGCTGTATTCACAGAAGAAACTAATCTCTGATCAATATTCACAGGAAATAATCTGCTAAAAATCATTTTACACAAACTTCCTGCAGTTATTGTGTAAACAGTTATCACTTGTTTTCTTCGTTTATTGTTATGTATTACATTTTTCAAAATCTTTTTTCAACAGTAAAAAACTGGTAGCTGTGGTTGCCGAACTTTATCGCAATAAATATGGTAAAACTTTTTAGTACTTTTGTTTTTACGGCTAAAGTTTCATATTTTACTGTATAAATACAACTTTTTACCATCAAAAGAAACTGTTTTGCCACATGAAAATACCATATGAATGAAGAGATGACAGTAGTATTCCGTGCAATTTACAAAAAAAGTCTCCAGGCATTTCACAGTGTATATGAAATATCCATAAAATGATAGAAAACTGATGTAGGGCTCCATGTTCAAACCCTCTTGTGGAGAAGATCCATGTAAATCTCAATAAAGTTCACTCACACATCTGGACTGTTTCTCTGTTTGAATAGAAAGCAAAAGAACAAAGTGGCTCAGGTCTGAGAGTCATGAAACGTGTGGAGTGTTTCTATTTGTATACAGCACCACCTAGTGGATCCAAAAGGAGTAACAGAGCTTAACACATCAGTGCCCCTCTACACACAGGCTTTCTGGGTAAATGAAGCATGGAACTCACAGTGGTGGGAGATTACTGCCATTTATTGCCAACAATCAGTGTTTTCATAAGACAGAGCTTCAGCATTGACAATCATCATCTGATCAGCAGCACTTCACAAATACTGGCTCCGGTTCCAGCTTTATTTAATACTTTCACAGAACAACAACAGATGAATCAAATACTTCAAATACTTACAATTAATGCAAATTCACGGTAGTTTCTGAGGCAAAATGCTGAACCATATCTCTGGTTTTGATTTTATTCTCACTGGAGCAAGTTGCCTTTGATTTTTAATTAATTACACAAAAAAATTATAATAATCACAAACATTTTTGAAATTCTAACTCCCCCCCTTGCAACATGTGTCGCAATATTTGAGAACATCTGCAGTGAAATCAGGCATCTTAAGCAACAACAATCTCCTGCAGGGACTCTGAAATAATACATACTTCATTACACAAGAAGATGATCACAAAGTGCTAATTTATCATCTAATAATGAAACTTCAATGAAAGATTTATTTCAAAAGGTCAATTTGAAAATCACACAAATTTTTTTAAATTTAATTTTAAAATACTGTGTAAAAAAAGCTCATGTATAATCATTTTCCTATTTCCTTTCAAGTAGGTTTCTGCAGATTCCAACTGATTCAATTTAAGACTTTTGAAGACCATTATGAATGTAAGTTAAGGAAAACCAGTATTGGTTCCATGTCGGTTTTGTTTTGTAGATCAATACAATTGTTTCCCAAAAACACATTTAAAAGTACGACTGAAAAATTAAACTTCATTAATCCAAGACATTCCAATCCAAGACATTTTAAAGCCTGAAATTCAGATTATTGGATCATTTTGGCTTTTTTTGTTTTTAATGAATCAAACTGTTTGTTACGGAGACAGCTCCACTAAAAGCTGATGATTTGTGCTAAAAGAAATTGGTCTGACGTTAGTACAAATTCAGCTCAGTCCAGCCACTGTTGTGTCAACACTATCGGATCATCCACCACAGTGTGACACAACTCCAGGTCGGAGGTCAGTGAGCTCCTCAGGACGTCCTGTCAGCGTGTCGCCTCTGGGAGGAAATCACAAGCTGCCTTCATTTCTTCATTGAGTCCTATTGCACAATCAATCAATCAATAACATCTCTGTGCCTCTCTAGTGCTGTATTAGACTGTAGTTTTAATCAATACTGATTTGTTATTAGTTTTATTCGTGACTTTAGTACTTTTTTTCTGCAAAATTACAGTCTAAAACATGGGTATGTGTGAGTTGTGTTTAGTGTCAGTCTCATCGATGCTCTGGGTGAAGTGTTCCCCGGTGTACAGGCCGTAGTGTAGGGTGTCCTTCTGGGCTGCGGCCCACGCCATCTGCCCGCTGGAGAAGCGAGCGGCCCAGTGGCCCTGAGGGTCCACTGTCACCACCCCGCCCAGCCCATCCACTCTGGACTTCATGTAGGCCAGGCCTAAGTCGCTGGCTGCCTCTACTGACTGACCTGAGGAGAGAAGACACTGAACTACTGCACCAGACACAGCAGAATGACTGTGTGTGTGTGTGTGTGTGTGTGTGTGTGTGTGTGTGTGTGTGTGTGTGTGTGTGTGTGTGTTACCTTGCTCCATGTGGAACAGGATGAGTCTGGCTAGAATAACCTTCATGATGGCTTCTCCGTGTCCTGTAGTTGACACTGCTCCTGAGCTGTTGTCAGCGTAGCCTCCACAGCCTGACAGCGACAATATGAGAGGAACACTTAATATTATATTCACTTATTTTAGGTAGAAAGTTTTTATTTGTAGTTTCATTGCAACACGTGACTAAGTGTCGGTGAACAAGACAATGAAAGCTTCCCAGCTTTAGTTAGGGCTGTGAAGTGTAAGTGTAGTTTAGCCACGCTTCAACAGTTTTATGACAAACTACTGAGTTGTTATAAGGATGCAATAGAACTTTTTCACAGCAGCCATCTTTAACATGAAAGGGTGCTGCTCTGTGGAAAGGCCCTGCTGGTTCCCTGTTGGTAGGAAAAGCCCATAATAGTGTTTTTCCACCGAATTAGCTCTGGTTGTTGAACCGGTCTTGGAATCTCGGTGCTATCCGGTGAACCAGTGAACCTTCCCAGCAGTTTTGAGTGGAACCAGTATAATCTGATGGGTGTTTCATGTCAAAATGGCTGCTGCAGAAAAAGGCCTATTAAGTAGATGGGAGAGTACTTTTCTCTTGAAACACACTGTAGTAGCATTTAAAAAATCCTGAGCACACTCTGACACTGTATTGATCCTCTGATCTCGTCACTTTATAACTTTCAATTGGTGATTTTAGATGGAACGACGGACGAGGAGCAGCAGTTACAGCACACAGGTGATGATGGGAAGTTTATATTATTATTTATTACTTATGATTATGAAATTATAGCTGATAACTTATTGGTTGATAATTATTTATTTGGAATTGTAAAATGTTTGATAGGCTGTAAGTGTGTTTGAACTTTACTGGAACAAATAAATGAACATTTGAAGAGTCAGAACTGTTTTTGTTGTGTTCACAATAGTGATGTCAGAAAATATTAAATCAACCATCTTTGCTCACCACATCGGAGCCTTTCTCCCCCTCAGGTGTAAATAAACTACAGGTTATGAACTTCTCTTTAAAACACAAACATGTGAGGTTATCGGTTGTAAAGATGATTCATAAAAAGGTTCAGAAATGAAGAGCTGCAGAGTGACTGTAAGTCACCTGTGATTTCAATGCTTTCATTCAAGTTTCAACTTTTCACCAGACAGCCTTTGTTGCTGAAGGCGGACGTCTGTTTCCGAGAGCGAGGCCACGACTCGTGACAGTCCAATCACTCATTTACTGATAGTGACAGATTACACAGGGCTGAAGCGGCCCAAATCCACTTACTGCTGTTTACTGACGCTCAGTGTAAAACAGCTCTGAGATGATTCAGCCCCTGTCACACAGATGTACACTTATCTTCTCAAATGACACTTTGGGTTCTGGCATATTACTCATGCAACATTAGGTTATTAGTGTAAGCCAGTCAGCGCTGTGGCTCTGACACAATGAGTATGAACTGGGCAGTATTACACGAGTCTATGGCGGTGGTTCTCTCAGTGTACAACACAATGGTATAACTGAAAAATAGTTATTTGTTACAATTCAAATGTTGTAGAATCCATCACTAAACTCATAGCAAACCATTTTTTTGTCATCATGCAATCAGACTAAGACTTTTGTCCACAATTTAACAAAAAAACATGTTAATCGTTAATTCTTTGCGGCAGGGAGGCAACTACAGTAATTAACGATTGCATTAAAACATCAGAATACTGAATATAAAATGTGGTTTATTGTGCGGACATTGACATTAAATATAATCTAGTATAATCATTTTAGGAAATATGCATATGCATTTTATATTTTATTGCGTGTCCTCTGCAGTACCCTGTTTGAGAAACCCTTTTGACAAGACATTTGACACAATAATAAGAATCTGCACCATGTGTTGCTGTTGTACAGAATGTTGTCAGCAAACACAGAGCTCGTGGTCAACTATCAACCAGTCAGGCTTTGATTACTAACTAACCACACATGTCCAATCTCTATTGGTCAAAGGTCACCAGACTGGTGAACACAACCTTCCTATTGTTTTTGTCTCACACAATGTTCATTAAAAGAAACTCCATACAATACGTGTGTGGACTGACCTACGCAGGGTGTGTCGCCCACCCGACCCTCCATCTTATTCAGGATCCCACCAGTGGAGGTCGCGCAGGCTACGTTGCCCTCGCTATCCACTGCTACAGCTCCAACCGTGCCCATCTTCCCCCTACACAACAAAAACACAGACTTCTTTTTATTCTAAAGAACCGAAAGTATAACCAGTTGTGTATAGTGACCTGGTTATCGAGGTATACCGAGCTAAAACCAGCTTACTGTGAGGGACACTTTCTTTTGAGGATCAGCTCCTCGCTGCTTGTACTGTATCCTCTGAAAGGCTTGCTGTTTGATGGAGAGTGCAGCTGTAGTCTCAGCAGTAAATAAATTCCAACGATGACCCAGAGTCACAGCAAAAAAATCTGTCCAAACATCCGTGGAAGTTTCTCAGACTGCTCCTGCTGCATAATCCAGTTCACCAGTGTTGATTCTTGTGTTCAGTATGTTCCAAAAAACCTTTCCAATAAATCTTTACTACATCAGGAGGTCCTGAGATATGAAGAGGCCAACGATTTGTGTTTAGTTATGTTGTGGACAAACCTGCCGTCACTGAGGACATTCCAGACACTTAAATGTGTCTCTGAGGAGACGACGAGATGGGAGGCTTCAAGTAACCTGACTGGGCCCGATGGTTTGTTACACAGAACCATCAGAGAAGTCATCATTGGAAAGCCTTCAGTGCCAATCTTTGCTCTTCTTTAAATGAAGAAATACTCTCCGCTAACCTCTGTGGGAGTTGCTACTGTCGTTTAACGAACAGTGTCTTCTCGCCGTGTCACACCTGGCGACCACCAACGCAGCTGCCAGTACGTCCTCATTGGACGCTGATTGGTCCGGAACCACTGTACTGACCACAAACCGAAGACTGTCAAGATGGATTCTCACATGATTTTTAGTTTTATTTCTGGATGCCAGCACCCCTTCAATCACAATCTCTTTAGTGAGCCTCATAAGTAATTGCAGTCTCCTCAAACCGATGCTGGAGGGACTGCGGAGGTCCCCTTTAGTAAATGCAGTTCTATTGGAAGCAGCTTACAGAGAGCAGTGCAATAACTCATATCTCAGTATGTTTCATCTCTAATGGATCACGGTGTATTCGGAACAATTGCTAACGAGTTTAAAACAATGTCGTGTCTCACATTTGGAACTCCACAGGGTTGGCCTCAGGTTCCAGGTTCTTTTTCCAGCGCATTCGGGAGTACTCGGTGATGAGGGACTCTTGGGGCACCTCAGGGACGCCCATGGACCGGGCAAACTGACCGGCCCCCTCTGCTGTCAGACACACATGACTCGTCTGAAACAGAGATCAAAGTTCACATCTTACATGCGTTATTACTAACCCTAACCCTGACCCTAACCCTAGGGTTACTATAACCCTAACCCTAACCCTAACCCTTGAGGTTACTATAACAATATAATAACAATAACACTACCTAACAAATGGTTTTATTGCCTGAATCTATGTGCGACAGAAAATTGAAGATAATTCAAAAACAAACAAGAATTCAAGTCAACTAAGTCTAAAAAATGATCTCACAGGAGAGTGGAACCCCAACCTCCCAGGTAAAGGTCCTGTAATTGACCCATTTAGTTTAGATGTAGATCTTTATGAATTTAATGTCCTTAGATTTTGCAGTACATGTGTAAATGACAACATGTGACTGAATGTTCAGTATCGTTCTGCCGTCATGCTTTCAGTATATACAGAGTGTGGGAGTTAAATTAAACGTTTGTGTGTATCATGCTTATACATAATCGAGTGTGTGAGTTTAAATGTACGTACCTTGTCCATAACCAGTCTTGCTAGCTGGATGGGGTTGGCTATGTTGCGTACAGCAGACACGGCACCACTACCCAGTGATTTCCCATCCATCACAATGGCATCCATCTCCACATCTCCTTTGACGTTCAGCACTGACCCACAGCCTGAAACGAGATTTAAGAGACGATGTGATAGAGTCTAAAGGGACAAAGAAGACAGCTGCGGGATCTGAAAATGGGTTCATGTTGGGAGTTCTTTTAGGGAGTTTACATGTGATTCATATATTTGAGAGCAATCTGTGCATTGATTTAGATATTTCTTATGCAGGAGTTAGTCCTTTTAGGGACCTTTAACATCATTAAGAACCTGAAATGCATCTTCCTTTTCCTGCGTGTGTCTTATTATTTGTGCAAATTAGTTAATAAAGTTAACGTTACCCAAACTGCGAAGGTTTTTACACACAAAAGACAAAAGGCTCAAGAACAAGGTGGACCTATTTATATGTTGAATTCGATGCCACTCTGTGGCTTCACCCACTCGAGCACGAAGGAGGAACTACGGTGGCCTGCACATTATGGTTCATTACCCACAGTGCAGTAGTGTGAGTGCGCTACCTGCGTTGAAGTTGGGGTTATTCTCCAGCTCCGTCACAGCCCCTACCACAGCGTCCATGCTGCTGCCCCCTCCCTGGAGGATAATGTACCCGGCTCGGGCTGCTGAGCACACCCCCTCCGTGGACCTTTCAGACCGCTCCTTCGGGATGTGACCCGCCCCTCCGTGGACCACCACCACTGGCAACATGTCAGTCATCTGAGAGGCGAAAATGGAGAGACAGGATGTAAGACAGGAGGTAGACGTAGTGTTAAAGGACAGTTCTAACATGATGTTGATGAGTTTCATTGTTTGGACTATAACATGAAGCATCTTGTTTCTGCAGGTCTGGGGGCTTGAAGCTCTCAGGTCCAGTTAGTTAGCAGGCAGGAAAAACACAGGCAGACTTAATGAGAGTACTGATAGCTCAGTTCCATTACAGATACAGATACAGATACAGTGACAGTGTGGACAATGGCACAACCTCCCATAAGTGGAATGCAGCAGTCATAATTACACCTGCACATTTCCTGCTTCGACATGTCACAATGTCAAATGCAACCAGTCTGAATCCAGACTAGAACCAGTTGCTCTGGCCCCAACCTACTGAGAGTAGCATGTTTGTCCATTATTTCTTTTAAACCCGCTTACAGACACGCTTTTATGTGATCTTCTTTTTAAAGTTTTTTTATTTAATGGCTTTTATCCTGCTTTTATTATTGTATTATTGTATTTTGGTATTTATTATTATTATTATTATTATAAAACCATTATAAAAGAATTTCTAAGCGCTTTTAACGTAATGAATAAGGTTCATTCAGACCCAGCAGCAGGCAGCAGGAGGACAGGTGAGCGACGTGTAGTGCATTAAAACACAACAAAACAACATTAAAACTTATACAACTGACAGAATTCACCAGTTTCTATCTCAAACCGTATTGATCAGAGCTCGACTGCGTGTAGTCAGACTTAAAGTGTACGAATTTGGGCTCCGGGACCAGAAAAACACAGAAAAACACAGAAAAACAAACACTTGTTTACAAGACAAACAGACGTGGAAACCATCTTGGACATAGTTCTTGTAACGTATAGATTCCTGAGACAATGTCCAGCAACTGTAACTGCTATTAGGTTTAAAATGAAAATATGTTTAATTGTAGCTGTAATGAAGAATTAATAATAAAATATATGTAACACAATTATCTCCTTTAATTTCATTATTATATTAAATCTATGACACTTGTCACTACATCTAAAAGTCCAGACAGAAGGGTTTATATTATTCATATGCAATAAAATGGTTCTTAATGTGTTTCATTAAAAACAACACTTAATAATATCTCATATTAGAGAAATGTGTTTGTTCAATGACACACGTGTGTTTTAAAGTATTTTTCAATTTCATTAAAATGTAATAAAATCAGCTGCATTATGTAAAGTAATTTAAATGTGCCTGAATAAACTTACCTTTCTTCTAATATCAGTGAGTGTAAACTGATTAATATCAAAATAACTAAAACAATCATTGGTTGATTTGTCTAATTAATGAAGGATATATATATATATATATAAGTTATGTGCCTTCAGTAGAGTGTACAGAGGACAGACAGACAGAATAAAGCCATAAACCTCTTTATATGCAACCTTTGGTCGAAGATAAACCAATTTCACACTAAATTCATTAAAAACATATTAATTAATAACTCTTTGGTTAACAGCAAAATAACAATTCATAAATCATTGATTTCAGATTATTTATTAACAGTTTTAATGAAAGTTTAACTTCTGATAGTCTCGCGCACGCTCCCACGCGGTGACACAGAATAAGCCTGCGGTTATATATCCGGTGGACGGTGGCTCAAACTGTTAGAAATACTTTAAAATATATAAAACGAGAGCCGCTTCGTGAGCTGTCTGTAAGCCGAATTGAGAAGACACGTTAGAAACAAGCTGCAGTCATGTTAAAGCCAACAACAACCACCGTTATTAGCGGGAATATTAATTTTATGCACGAATCGCCGCTAACGTTAATGCGGTTCGGCAAGCTAATGCCGCAGAGACTGAGTAAAACCAACCCACGGCTAACGTTACGTGTAAAACTCAACCGTTTATTAAATTGTTGTCTTTCTGTAGATTGTCAGTGCACCCACTCACCCTGAAGGTTGCTCGGTTTACATGCAGAAATATTCCGGTTGCTCAGTTATTGAGAGAGTTGATCAGATAGAAAAAAACAGCTTCACTTCCAGGACATGACCATGACACTTTCAAAATAAAATACAGTTCTTCATACCAAGCAGCAGACTAAATTCAACTTGTAGATCTTTTAAAGTTGCTCCAAACTTTCTGGAATTGATAAATGATTCAAAGATATTTTATAATCCTTAAAAAAAACTGTAAAAGAGGATATGTTTGCATTGATTAAAGCCCCTAAAGTTAATTAAATGTAACCTATTTTAGTGGGTTTGTTTTTCTCTTTTCTTTTCCGTTACAGTACACTTCTGGGAATTATTGTTAAATATGTTTAACAACCATTAACTGTGCATGTGTGTTATTTGAAGATTAATAAAGGTTTAATAAAGAAAAAAGAATATATTCAACTTTTAGTATGTCTTGTGCTACTTGATAAAATGAGATAAAAGACAATATAGGCATATTATATTCGTAAAATGTGGGCTACTTTTTATATTCCTTTCTTTTATATTTTCCCTTTATAGCAAAATATATCCTAGTTTAACATAGTGGGATAATCTATTACAGCAATTAGTTCAAACATTTTGCTATACATTAATTAAGATTTTCATGATTATTATAATTATTAATCATATAATAACATAGTAGTAGTATAAGTTCTTACTCCATTCATACAGCACTGTTTTGTGTGTGTGTTTTATTATGAAGTCAAAATGACCTCATTTCCGTTTGTATGTTGGGTTCCTTGACTGAAAGTTAAACATCACATGAAAACAAATTAGGTGAAGAAAGTATAAAATGATCCAACTGTTCCAATCACATGTTTACATCTATATTTATTATTGCAGTTTGTTTTATTATTGTCATTATTATGATTTATTAGCCTAATCAATTTTACTCTCTCTCTCTCTCTCTCTCTCTCTCTCTCTCTCTCTCTTATATATATATATATATATATATATATATTGGTTTTGTCAATTAAATAACCTTGTATAGGAAACTGAGACAGACTCATGGAAATCCTTTTATTGTGTAACTACTGGTTTTGAACAGCAGACCTGATATAGTTCATAGTGCGCAACCACCACGTTCATCACCCATCAGTCTATCACTTATTTTAGTAAATGTTGTGGACACTTCCCTCTCCCTCTGCAGCACAGTGGGAGGAAGCTGCTCTCTGTAGAAGTGAGATATCTGAGAGAAAGTTACTGAAATGAGACGGTTGGGTGTGCACACTCTTTGGCTCTCTCTCTCTGAACATCACTGCCCTAAATAGGACCCTCCTTTAGGCTGAGTCAGAGCTGTTGAGCAGCGCTGTTGCGTGCCCGCAGTCATGTTCAGGAGATTGTTTGTCAGTTTGGGCATGTTATGAGAGGATGATGATGGTGATGATGAAGGGGGTGGGCTCCTCTCAGCACGGTTCCGCCCCCCAGATGTTCAGTGAGCTGGCCGTGGTGCTGAAACACACACAGGAGGATTTAGGAGCTGATTTAACACTCGACCGTGAACTTACAGTGAGGCTGGCGGACCTGGACTCAGCTGGTCTACAACACTGTGACCTGGAGGACAATGTGGCATTAGTCTAATTTTAGTTCAGGAGGCAATTAGCTGTGCAGAAAGTTGTCAATTTATTAACCAAATCACAATGAATCACTGTTAGACCTGATGAGTTAGTTCAACTCAAACTGTTTGAGGAAACTTAAACCAGGAGTCTCAAACCGCCGGCCCGGGGGCCATTTACATCCCTCCATCCACCTCCCTGTATAATATAATCTGGTACACAGGATTGTTTTCAAAATGATTATTTATTCTTGTTGTTTCACATCAATTTAAACTACAAATTCATATACAATTAGAATAAAAACTCATTTGTAATTAAAGTAAAAAAGTTTATTAACTCAATTTAAAGATTAAGATATTTGATTTGAGTAGAAGTAACTGAAGTTATTATTATTAACATAACTTTGGGTTAATTAAGTTAATTGTACTATTTTCATTCAGGTAATTGATTTTACGCTCATATGCAACATTTCTCCAAACTTATTTAAAATGTGTGAACAGAATTTATCTGAATAAAGTCACTTAAATGTTTTCTTCTACTAAAACAAATTATTACATTTCCTGTCAAAACAGCTGATAAAAACAATATATAATTAATTGATTATTGAAATTATAGTACATTTCTATGCGATTTTTTATGTGACATCTTTACACTCTGGGGATCACTAAGAATTATTTGGGCTTATAATGATTAATAAACTGAATTAAAAAGCTAATATACAGCATTATAATTATTACATTTTGATATATGATATAAAGTCAACTTAAAGAAAATGAGTCAGTCAAACTGGAATTCTATCACCAATACTTTAAATACTGCACACATTTAAGTTCACTCAAAACAACTTCTTTTTTGGACGTTTAATTTATGTTGACTTCTTTTATTAAGATGTTTTTATTGTTAAAAATAGTCCAATAAAGCACATTTGTTTCTAAATTTAGGTTAATGTGACACAATGATAGAGTGTATGCGATACACACGTTCCCACATGGTGAATTGTATGTGATCTGTAACGTTTAGGAGCCGCTCTCTATAGACCACACAGCCTATAATTGAAACGTTGTACTCTGACATACTGTAAATGTCAGCCTATAGCCGCACATGTGCACGACTGTGTGGTCAACCTCAGGCTCCCTTCAGATTGTTTTTCAGCATGAGGAAGTTGTGTGTGTGTGTGTGTGTGTGTGTGTGTGAGCTGGGAACTGCTGGAAGGATGGATAAGGAGGAAGGACAGAAGGAAGGAGTGGAGGGAGAGAGAGGGAGAGGGAGGGAGGGCGGGATGAAAAAAAGGGGGATGCGCGTCATTCTTACACGCAATGATTGGTGAGAGAGAGGAGGAGGAGGAGAGTGCAAACACTCTTATTGTGAAAGGTTCCATACAACACTACAATATGGTTCTCTAGACTCGTTATTACAGTGTTACTAATATTATTTTGACCCACTTCAATCCCCAAACACTGGGATTATTCCTTTTTATGGTCAGTTTTTGAAGCTTTTTCAGGTACACACCAAACTATTTCACCATGATCCTAAATCCCTTACTGTTTTTAAATCTTACCATAACATTTACCAATAAATAATTGTATTTATATGGTGAAACTTTAACTGTAAAATCAACAGTACTAATATCCGTAATAGTAGAAAGGTTCTACTGTATTTATTACTGTAAAGTTTCTGCCAACCACAGCTGCCAGTGTTTAACCGTAACATGGCTCATACAGAAAGTGAGTTTACGGTTTTTCACCGTAAAGTCTACAGACATTAAATGCCTTTAATATGATATAATCTATTCATTTATTTATTAATTTACCCCAAATTTGAGCTGAGCCCTTGAGTTGAAAAGGGTATAAATGAATGAATTAATGTTATCAGATTTTAAGAGTGTTAAAATACCTCTTTGGAATAGTGTAATCCATAAAAGCACCTTTATATTCCACATTATAATCCATTCATTTACCCATAAAGACTTTTTTTCAGTGCTAAATTAAGAATGAATCAATAAAGGATTCCTGATTTGTCCAGTTAGTTATTATGGTCCTACAAACCCCACAATGCACCCTTGAGGAACCCTTCATTTGCTGTGTGTGCTACAGGCTGGCGTGAGCGCGCATGCTGACGGTGAGTGGAGCCCCCCATTCTCAAATGAGGGCTGCGCGCTCCCGCCGCAAGAGAAGTGAACGCGCTTGAGGGGCTGCGGTCCCATTGACGGTTCCGTCTCCCTGACAGCAGCATCAGCATCAGCATCAGCATCAGCGGCGGCGCTGGAAAACAAGAAGTCGCCGCCTCGCCCCGCAGCCACACAGCCAGCCCACCGGACCGAGCGGAGACCTGAGCTGCCTCCAGAGGACCCCCCCGCCCCCCCTCCACTCCCACCCACCCACCTCACCGCCTGGCCTGAAGGAAGGAAGCGAGATCCCCCGTCCTGTGTGCCATCATCCCGACCGACCGCTGGAGATATGGGCTCCCCGTAAAACGGAGGTGGTGGAGGGTAGAGGCGGGCGGGCGGGCGGTGGGAGGGGGGTGGGGGGAGAAGACAGCGGAGCAGCAAGAGGGAGAAGGAGAGGCTGAAAACCGGGAACCGAAGCGCTACCACCACCACCACCACCACCACCGTAACCGCTGCTGCTACTACCGGAGCTAGCACCGACACTGCTGCAGCTGCCGCCGCCGCCGCCGCCGCCCTGGGTGCCCCCCGCCACCGCCATGGGAACTCCGCATCAGTCGCTCCAACCGCCGCTTTGTCCGCGGGCCATGTCGTGATCCGTGGGCTCCGCCAGCGGGTTTTCTATCCGTGATCCCGACCGAGGCGAGGAGGAGGAGGAGGAGGAGGAAGAGGAGGAGGAGGGAGGGAGGGAGGGAAGGTGGTGGTGGTGGTGGGGAAGATGTTCGCCTCGGTGGGCCCTCGGGGCGGCCCGCGCCCACCCGTCGCCCCGACCATCCCGGAGCCGGACCTGAGCCATCTGACGGAGGATGAGAGGAAGATCATCATGGCTGTGCTGGCTCGGCAACGGGAGGAAGAGGCGAAGGAGGAGGCCATGTTAAAGTAAGAGAGAGAGAGAGAGAGAGGAGAGAAAGTGTGTGTGTGTGTGTGTGTGTGTGTGTGTGTGTGTGTGTGTGTGTGTGAGAGAGAGAGAGAGAGAGAGAGAGAGGGACTGGGCCTGGGCTATTTCCGTTCTGAAGAAGTCCATCCACCTCCTCTATCTGACCATGCATGCATGTGTTTGTGTGTCTACATCCTGCAGGTCCCTGTACACACAACTCACCCACTCACCCACTCACTCACTCACTCACTCACTCACTCACTCACTCACTCTCAGGCCCATACAGTCTCCAGCTGTGTGCAGGAGAGAACATTCAGGGGCCAGCGTGGAGCAGGTTCAGTTTGCGGACTCTCACTCCCCCCTGTGTGAGGCTCAGAGAGAGCGGTGGTGGTGGTGGTGGGTCGGGTGTTAGAATAGGATGGTGTGAGGATGAAGGGGTGTGTCACCATCATCATCAGCAGCATCACTC